AACAAGTTCGCAGAAGCAGACCCTTCGAAATTCTAAATCTCATTTGACCATTCCACCCCCCCCTTTCCAGAAAAAGGTACCGGTTTGACACGTTTCTAGATGGGAGTTTGACTGATGTCTACAAGAAATTTAACGGTTTCCGGAAAAGGTTTGATCGGTTTGCGCGGGGTTTGCGCGGGGTTTGGACCGATTCTGAGGGGCTTGCTTGATTGGATTTTAGAGGGGACTTTGACAGGTTTTTGGAGGGAGAGAGTCGTTGCTTTGGGTTGCGCGACACGGGTCCGGGGGCAAGGGAAAGTTGCACAGCTCCTCGAACATCCTTACCACAGGCATTTCAGATATTGGCAGGCTAAGCAATCATTCCTCAGCGCAAACGCGCGCGGCGGGATTGGATGGGGCTTAAGAAAGTGAAGAGGCGTACGCATGCGTGCGCCTTTTGTCTGCTCTTGCCAAGATGAATGCAGGGCTCAAGGCCAAACCCCATGCCGCAAACGTGGCTCCAACACGTCTTGGATTGAGAGAATTGCCGCGGGCAAGCTGCAGCTAACAGCAGCTCCATTCCGCATCAGCTCGCCAAGGTCAGCTCGCAAAATGTCAGGCGTTGTTTGCAGCTTGCGTGCGTCATCTGCCTTTTGCCACTTCCCCTTTGTTTTTGATCCTTTCTCAAAACATTGAAGACCGATGGGCCAGCCCGCTCCATCTCTTAGCCATAAATGGCGGGTGCCTGCTTTTGGGTATCCCATTTGTTTTTCAGTGAATTTTAAACGGACACCAACAGGAAAGCCGCCATTTTTGTGGGGCCCCCAAAACGACACATACCCAACTTGACATAAACTTGTTGCACAAGAGCGCCTTCTTTTTGTTGGATGACAGGGCCACTCCCAGCTGTTTCTCTGCCCGGTGAACGCCTCCGGCTACAAATGCGCCGCCGCCCTGCGCCTCCCCGAGCGGCCCTGGCGTTTGCGGCACTTGTGCCAAGCGGTGATCTCGGCGGTCAGGACGGCTTCGGTTTTCCGCCGGTGGAGTGGGAGAAGCCTCGGTGCTTCTAGGTTGTCCCAGATTTCTTTCCTAGCTTTGAATGGTCCAAACAGCTCATACTTTCTCAAGATGGGAAAACGAGACAAAACACGGGCTGAAGCCAAGGTTCAGTTGTCCAAACCGAAGCCCATTGGTCCATCTTGAGCCAAGTTGCCAAACATGAGCCTATTTCCAGATCCTGGCAGGTAGGTTTGATTGCCCAACTAGGGGATCCACTGGCCTTTTTCTTGGTGAGATTCCGAAAAGGCGATTGCGTTGGTGCTTGCAGGGAACCAAAACAAGCTCACAACGATAGAGAGTTTCCAAAAAACAGGGGACCTTTTCTTTGGCGCATTTTGCTTGGATGTTAGGACTTTAACTTTTTGCCAACTCATGGGTTTTCCATTAAAAGTGAAACTCTTAGCAGGGGAGCAGAAAGCAACCGAGGTTTGAATTTTGGCAGGTCTTTGGCAAAACCAAAGACCCTCTGCAGATTATTTGTCACGCAGACCCAACCACCGCCCATTCACTTTGCAGGTTTCGACATCCGCGAATTCCCATTGCCGCGTCAATTCAAGATTAGCATACTCATGGTCTCCAAGATGGGTGTCCCTCTTTGGTTAACTGTTTTGAGGGGAGCCAAACGGAAATGAGCCAGGGTTGGTTCTGGTCCCAAATTAATAGAAACACCCACAAGAGACGGACTAGACAAACCACTTGAGAAAGGTCAAGTAAGCCTTAAAAGTAAACGTGCCCGAATGCTTCTGTCCGGAAGCGCGCCAACACAAGTCGTACTTGCGATTCCTGTTTTGAGGTATTCTCACGGGGCATCTTAGCAATGACAAGGGGTCCCTTTGGCCTGAAACCAGATTTTGCTCTACAACTTTTGTTTTTTCCACCCCGCTCTTTTTCCGCCCACAACACACGACGGGTGCCTCAACATGGTACAATCACGTTGGGGCGGGGGGCTTATGTCAGGCAACAATCATATACCTCTCAGTCCCTCCATTTGTTGCAGGCTTGCTCCAAGCCTCCTCTGAGATGAGCACACACAAGGGTAGACAATGACGTTGGCTTTTCCCTTCATTTGCCCAACTACCCTTTTTCTGTGCCAAGTGTTTTTGGGGCTTTGGAGCAACGGTATGGATGTGGTTTCGCCAATCCACCGGTACCTGAGGGCCCACCCCAGAACAAAACCGCCTGTTCCCTCAGACAAACCCAATCTTCGTAGGATGCAGCGCTTGGATGATCCAGCCAACCGCAGCTTCCTCCAGGATGTCCGTCCGGGTTGATACAGAAAAGTTCTGCAGGCCCAGAGGCGCTGGGTAGGTTTCTGGCCCTTGCTTCCCACTGTTTGTTGCTTGTTTTTGGAGTGTGTGTGCAAGCAAAACCGGGCTTGGGTCGTGCAGCCGGCAAGAAAAACGCCCCCTGCGGATCACTTGGCCCAAGCGCCCTGGGCCTGCAGGAATCTCTGCAGTGAAAAGTGCGGAGGATGCATTGAAAAGCAGAGAAACCGACTGATGTGCGCACCAGATAGGCTCATCAAGAAAGACATCTGAAGCGCAACAGCTCAAATTACCACCTCAACGTGACTCTTCTTTTGGTCTGCTTGCTTTGTATTTCAATTTTTACAGTACGAGCGCTTTGTAAGAAATCGGTCGGTCGAGGCCCATGGGTTCTGAACTTCTTCGGGAGGGGTATTTATGTTAAGTTGGTTTTTGTTTTTTTTCCCTGTTTTTTTTTTTTGGCGGGGAGTTTTGCTTTTGGCCTCTTGGCTTCTTGGCTTTTTGGCTTCTCGGCTTCTTGGCTTTTTGGCTTCTTGTTGGCTTATGCGGCTTTTGGTGGCTTTTGGCTTCGGCTTTTCGCATCCTCTGCATTCCCAGTTCCTCTTCGGCAGCTTTTTCGGCTTTTCGCTGACTTATGGCCAGCATCACCAGTTCCTCCCTATTTGAATCATGACTTCTTCGAACATCATGGGGGGGTTTCCCCCCCCAACCCACCCGCTACTTTTTAGATTGTTTGCAGAGTAATTGCACCCCTATTTGAATCAACACTTCTTCAAACATCATGGTGGGGGCAGCCCCCCAACCCCCCCGCTACTTTTTAGATTTCTTGCAGAGATTTAATTGCTCCCCTTTTTGAATCATCACTTCTTCGAGCGCCCCCCAACCCCCCCGCTACTTTTTAGACTTTTTGGAGAGATTTAATTGCACTATTTGAATCATCACTTCTGCAAACATCATGGGGGGGGGCTGCCGCCTCCCCCAACCCCCCGGCTACTGGACATGCGGGGGATGTTGAGAACGATGCTGGGGATGTTGGCGGGCTAGTGTAAAATGCGTCAATTTTGCGAGAAAATGCTGTAAAATGCGACATTTTTCTGGCCCGGACGAAGAACCGAAAAAAAATCCCCCCCCCCAAAAAAAAACTAAAGAAACACCCAAAATAAATCCGCACCTATTTCTTCGCGTCCATTTGGTCTTTAAGAGGGCTTGTCCTTTACGCGTCTGGAGCCAGGGGCCAGGGGGGCTGAATTTCTTGGCCAATTTCTGAGCCAGGGCAAGGAGCGCGCAGACCAGGTTGAAACAAGAAGTCGGGTCCCGCACTCCGTCTCGCAGGCATGCAAAGCACGTGCAGTCGAATTCGCGCGAAAATGCGCGCGCGTCTCTTTTGCACGTCCATGAATGGAAAAGAAGCAGACCCGAAAGCCTTCTTCTGAACAAGAGCCTGAAATCTGATAATTCTGGCTTAAGATGCTTGAAGCTTGCGCGGGGTTGCGCGTGGTGATGTAACCTTGTTTTTCGATCTCTAGAGTTTGCTGGTCTAACCTTCGGCCTGATGTCGCGCCAGGACTTTGTGCTGGAAGGCCTCTTCCTGATGATTTTGTTTGGGGTGGTGGGTGTCTTCTTCTGGCTGGGCCGGGAGATCTGGCTGCTGAAAAGTCAGCCGCCCGCGCCGGAGGGGCCCACGGAGCTCATCATCCCCAGCGCCTCGCTTCCTGGGGCCGGAGGGGCAGAAGCTGGGTGTGCTTTTGGGAGTTGGTGGGTTGAATGGGAAGCTAAAAGGAAAAGCGTTTTCTGGGTTCCCCTATTTAGACACAATCCTTAGGGAATCAATGCCATTCCCTCGTTCCCAGCCTGAGGAAACGCCAGCCTTCAACTCGAAGCCTCCAGTCAGGTTGCACTTGGCGTGCTTGTTGGTGGCACCCCGCAACTGTGCGGCCCTTTCCCCCATAAATTTGGGGCCCGCTTGATTGTGGGCTTCGTTGAGTCCCCAATCTTTTTGGTGCGCGTGAGGCGACTTGCAGATCATGAAGGAGGGGGTGAAGGACGTTCTCCACTTTACCGCGGGCAGCGTGCTGCTGCTCTTTGCGGCGACGAGCTTCCTGCAGCCCGGGCGATCGGGCGGATTTGAAGCGGCTTCGAAGCGGACCAAAACCCGTACATTGCGAGACTGAACTCGCCGGTTTGGTTTGTTTTGCAAAGACTGCCGCTAAAGAATCCAATCCCCATTCCTTTCAGAGGGTCTAAGCTTGGCCAGTAAACTTTCATTCCGATCAGCCGAGACAAGTGCACCTCTTGTTGTCTCCTGTAAAGTTCACGGCGCGTAAGGCAGAAGTTTGGGCGCGGACAAGCGATGGATAACCTGCTACTGGCCAGCCCCTTGCTCCTGGGCCCTGCCGGCACCTGTCGGCTCCTTGGCGGGAAATCGGCCGGAGAAGGGACGCCGATCCCACTAGCGCACTCACACGAGCAAGCCTGCCCAGGCAAGCTTGCGCGCGCAAAGTCGCAGCAGCACACTTGTGCAAGCACACTTGAACGAGTGCACTCGTACGAAAGCACTTGCACGAGCGCACTCGTACAAGCGCACTTGCACGGGCGCATTTGCACGAGCGCGCGCCTGCAGGAGCAGGCTTGCAACTTGAATGAGCGCACTTGCGCGAGTCCACACTCGCTCGCTTGCATACGTACACTTGCACGAGCGCACTTGCGCGAGCGTGCTTGCGCAAGTTGACTTGCACGCCGCAGGGCCTTGATGTTCTATCTATCTGTTTTTTTTGCATATATATATATACTTGTTTGCTCATGTCCATCCACTGTTTGGGTTCCTGCCAAGTGAGGATCTTCTTGTGCAATAGCCGGCGCTTGCTCTTCCACGCACTGCTGCGGCACCACGTCGTCTTGGACTTCCAGAGGAGTGGCGCGTAACCCACTCTGGTTTCCTGTATTTTCCTGTTAAGCCGATTGCAGGGGGCTTTTGCAACTAGCAGCTTTCTGTTGTGTTGGCTCTCAACCTGTCTATCCCCTTGGTTCTAAACCAAGATTTCCCCTAGCTTCCCACTTCCCAAGTCAGCGCAAGCGAAGCCATGTGGGAAAATTAATGGCCCGAAAGTTGCCCTTCCTTTGGCTCCAAGCCGATGTATGACTTGGTCGCAGGCAGAGCCTAGAGCCTTTGCTCCTGTGGCTCTACGGCAGCTTCGGCATGGTGGTGGCTGTGCTGCTGCTCAGCTCCTGGCAGTGTGTCAGGAAAAACCTCATCAGCGCGCTGGGCATGTTGGTGGGGCTGAGCCTTGGCTCAAAGCCAAAGGACCCCCTTTTCGCAGCTGTTTTGCCCATATATAAGACGTTTCTTTTTAAGAAAACAGTGTCGTTTTCTGGGGTCTCCGCCAAACATGTTTTAGGGTAGACTAAACGTGCCTCAGGATCAGAACGTGTTTGTTCAGAGTTTCAGTCAAACTGGTGGTATTGGCAAGGTGGGCTCGCTCAACATGTGTCATGTTATTTTTCGTTGTTCCTTTGGTTTGATTATTATGGGCGCGTGTTGTTTCTTGAGTTGGTATTTTGTTCAGGTTGGGCGAAAGGGAAGCCCAAAGGAGAAACTTGATTTTTGACGCAAAATATATTGCACCAAAACGCAGGCAAGTGGTCGGTAGCCCTAGTTTGGTTTACCTTCTGGCACGGGCAACGTTCGGCTAACTCATAACCTGATTTTGCCTGTTTTTGTGTAACAAATCTCGCAGGGATTCCTTAGTTGGTGATTCGGATTGGTGGTTTGGAGATTTGAACCTGCTTCTTGTAGACGGTAAATGGGAAACCTCCCCTTGACCACCAAACCACCAATCCAAACCGCCAACTAGAAGGAAACCGCATCTCTGGTTGTTTCCCCGTTTCGGAGGGACCTTGACAACGATACAACAATGCTATCGATGAGCGGTTTGGGGAGGGTCAGTTTTTGGTTTGGCGCGGCCGACCCTAAACCAGCCCTAAACCACCCGAAGCCAGCCCTAACCCCAAACCAACCTAAACCAGCCCTAAAAAGAGCAAGTCCTAAGCCACCTTAAGCCAACCCCAAACAGCCCTAAACCAACCACAAACCACCCTAAACCCTACACCGACCCTAAACCAACCCAGCCCTGAACCAACCCAAATTAACCCTAAACCAGGCCTAAGCCACCTAAACCAACCCTAAGCTCTACAGCCCTAAACCAACCCTAAACCAACCCTACACCAACCCCAAACTAGTGTAACCAGCCCCAAACCTAGCCCTACACCAGCTCTAAACCAACCCCAAGCCACCTCAAACCAACCCTAACCAACCCTGCGTAGTGCCGACGACAGTCTACGAAATCGACCCTCTGCGTGGGTTGGCGTGGTCGAGGTGCAAAAACTCGTGGTTTTTTGCAATTTTGTTTTGGCTCGCGCGACCCTCTGCGGGGATCGGCGTGGTCGAGGTGTTAACTCGAGGTGTTTTGCGATTTTGTTTTGGCTCGCACGACCCTCTGCGGGGATCGCCGTGGTCGAGATGCAAAAACTCGTGTTTCTGTTTGGGATTTGGCTCGCGCGACCCTCTGCGGGGATCGGCGTGGTCGAGGTCCAAAAACTCGAGGTTTTTTGCGATTTTGTTTTGGCGCGCGGGGATCGGCGTGGTCGAGGTGCAAAAACTCGAGGGTGTTTTTTTTGGCCCGCGCGACCCTCTGCGGGGATCGGCGTGGTCGAGGTGCAAAAACTCGAGGTGTTTTCTGCGGGGATCGGCGTGGTCGGTGTGCAAAAACTCGAGGTTCTTTACGATTTCTGCGGCGCTCGCGCGACCCTCTGCGGGGATCGGCGTGGCCGAGGTGCAAAAACTCGAGGCTTTTTGCTCCCTCAAGAGTTGTCTCGTGGTTCGCGCGCCTGCTCCCGGGACCGGCGGGTCGCGGGTTCAATTCCCCCTGGTCCGCGGGCGGGCTTCGCAAGCTGCACGAAGCAACTTGCATAGACAGACCATTTTGCGCAGAGAAACTTGCGTAGAGCAACTTGCACAGACCAGTTTGCGCAGAGCACCTTGCCCAGAGCTACTTGCGCAGAGCAACTTACGCAGAGCAACTTACGCGCAGAGCAACTTGCACAGAGCAACTTGCGCAGAGCAACTTGCACAGAGCAACTTGCGCAGAGCAACTTGCACAGAGACATTTGCACAGAGTCAGTTGCACAGAGCTTCTTGCACAGAGCAGCTTGCACAAAGGAACTTGCGCAGAGCAACTTGCGCAAAGGAACTTGCGCAGAATGGTCACGGGGCTGTGATGCTTTCGGGCCAACCGTGGTCTAGTTTCCAGGTTCGGCGCGGTGGTCCGGACCCAGAAAAGCTGCAGAGGGTTTACCTTTTCGAAGAAGCTTGGTTCCAAAACGCAGCAAAGTTCGAAGAGGGTTCACTTGTTACCTCGCCGCCCTAAGAAGAGATTTTAACTCCTCGCAAGTCAATTGCACTTGACTCCTTGCACTTGCAACTTGCACTTGACTCCTTGCACTTGCAACTTGCGCTTGGCTCCACGCACTTGCAACTTGCACTTGACGCCATGCACTTGCAACTTGCACTTGACTCCTTGCGCTTGCAACTTGCACTTAACTCCTTGCACTTGCAACTGCACTTGACTCCATGAACTTGGCTCCTTGCAACTTGCAATGACTCTCATGACTCCTTGCAATGACTCCTTGCAATGACTCCTTGCAATGACTCCTTGCAATGACTTTCATGATGATGATTCCTTGCAATGACACCTTGCAACGACTTTCATGATGATGATTCCTTGCAATGACTCCTTGCAATGACTCTCATGAGAACAACTCAAGTGAACCCAGCGGAAGAACCCTTCGCCATGCTTTCGGGAAAAAAACAGCCGCGCCGAACCTAGGCAAACAGTAACCCTTCCGCCCAACAATGATTCCAAAGATGTCAACCACTAAATAACGATTCCCCCAGAGACATCTTTGCCATGGGTGAGGTCACTAAAGTGAAGCCCTCCGCCCCAAAAAAGATAATTTGAGGGCTGCCACAGCCATTCTCGACCCACGGCCAAGGTAAAATGAGTGCGATTCTTTTGCTGAATGGCATGTTGCCACCACGGACTGAAAGCACACTTGTTCTTGGTCGCGCAAAGCTTGCTGGACCGTGAAGTGTCCAGCCTAACCAACAAACAATAAACTGTTTTGCTGGGTTCGGCTCGGTTCGACTCAGTTCACCGGAGTTGTTTGCTCAGGTATTGAGGTATTGCTTCTGGTTGGGTCAAGTTTGATCTAATGCTCTTCAAGCCCTGGAAGTGGCGGATGTTTTCGAAGGCTTGTCCTTACTTGAATTGTTCCCTTTTGGTCATTTCAACCTTTCTGCCCTTTTGGACAACCATGAACTTCTGAAGCGACTAGCATGTTGTTCACTTTTCAGCGACTCAGGATCATAGGTGTCCTTTTTAGGTGAGCCTGGGTAAAAATAGATGGCACTGGTTTAGATGGGTTTTGTTCCATTTACCAGGGCCATCTATTTTTCCAAAAGGCAACCTTTGCTCAGGATCGTGTTCAGCTCCCCCCTGCAGTACATGCTGTTCTCCCTGAGGAACTCTTTGTCGCTGGAGAAGGAGCGGGGGTTTGAACCCCAAGACCAAATCACCAGCTGAGTTTCGATCATCGTTTGACCTGAGCTCCTGGAAGACAATTCTTGTGTCAAAACAATTTGGATATTGTTTGCCACAGAGGAAGCGACGAAGATTTTCTTGGCATAGAAAACCGGTTCTTTTTAAACTACAGGGATGCGCCAGTTTAATAGGCGACCGCAAGATCCAGGCGCCCCGAGTTCCTCGGAGAGCACTCTTCCATCCCGGGGCCCGCAGTTCCTTTGACCCACAAACCTTAAAAGCGCAACTTGGGATTCCGTGGGTGGGAAAAATCGAAGGGCTCCACAGGCGACTTTCGCTTGCATAATGGAGTTCGCCCAAAGGAATTTGGGCGCAAGATTTCTCAGGATTGCCGTTAATCAGAACCCAACTGTATTGGTTGGTGCTTCCTACTGTGCCGCATCCAGAAGGCGAATTGCAAGTCCAACCCGTATGTCTTACAAATCAAGCATTCGAGGAAAATGATCGGCGCTTTTGTGAAACTACCTGTTGCCCCTCCCTCGTTTTTGCTAGCGTTTTGGGGGAAGTCAAAAGGAACATTTGCATGTTCAGATGCTAGCGCATGATATTATTTCAGGCAACTAAGTACATTTGCTTCGAATTCTTGAGTGGCAGCCTTTTCCATCTTCTTGTTGGGTTTGCTTCCCCAGTAGAAATAGCAACCACTAAGATAATTCCTTCTACCGGGGTCACTGCTCAATTGATTCAAACTTGCGTTCTGGTTTGGTTGAACACGTCTTTCTTTTTCCCCACTGACCCATGTATTGTCCATCGGAGGTGAATAGAAAGCTCGCCCATAGGAGGTCTTCGACCAGCAAAACCCATACTCCTCAGGAGTCCCATTCGCTACAGTCCCATTTTGTGTATGCGAGGGATTTCCCGAGCGGGGCCTTTCTGCCGGCCCTAAAGCCTATCCTCATCCATGTCGAGCCCAATTCGAGCCCATTTCGGCAGGAGGTCTTCAACCAGACCTGCCTGAAGAAGCTCTGCGAAGCTTCCGACATCGAGAAGCTGCAGCCTCTGACCGAGGGCTGCTTTTTGGCGGCTGCCGCCGCCCAGAAGGAGCCGAATCGAAGATTGCCGGGGTAAAAACTTGGCCTTGGGCGGCGGGGTTGACGTACACCCGCTTGTGGCTCGGCGGGTAAGGGCGCTTGAGGGACCTTTTTCAAAGGGATCGCTTCGCGATTCACAACCTTTTCACTTGGGGGTCTCTTTGAAATAGTGGTTGGCCTTATGTGGCTTCCAAAAAGTTTTGGCAGACTTCTTTGAAGGTGTTGCCACGGGGGTCCTGGACACCATGCCCCATATAATTTCGCCCAAACTCGTACCCCCCTACAACTTTTTCCTACCCCCATTCTCTATTCTCATTCATTTCACTCATTTCCCAAAGTCTCATTTCATCCACCTTATCCTTTTGTTTCCGCTCAATTTTGCAGAAGCATTTCAACAATATATGTTCTAACAGTTTAAAATGGTTTGCCCATTTCTTGAACAAAATCAGAACAGCTACAGCATTCCTCCCCTCTTTCGTTTTATCGCATTCGTCGTCTATTTTTTGAGCGTGCCCATCCTTACAGAAAATATGCCCACAGTAAATGATACAATCCTTGTTTTCAAACAGTGTATCAACCACTTCGGGTTATTCATGTTATTGGGGCATTATATGGAAACATGGGGCGTGGCCCTGCTTGTAGATTCTGGGGGGTCAAGTATATAAAACACTCTACTTAAAGTATAATTATAACATATAAGAGTATAAATGTTATATTTATGGTATGATTATAATTTATGTTTAGGAAAATCGTTTAATTGGTGATTACCCATTGTTTCATATTCCTTACTTATTTCATACACCATTTCAATATAATATGAATTTCTTTAACTGCATGTTTAATGTTAAACATGTTCATTCCAATAATTAATTTCATTTCGTCTTTTACGTCTTCTATATGTTGGTATTTTTACATCCACATGATATTATCAATATCATCAAATGTTTCTTACTACTTGGTAGAAACTGCTTGACATATTCATATGGTGGTATTTTGTTAAACAGTCAGAAATATTAAGATGTCGTCTTCAACGTTTGTATTACACAATCTTTTAATGCCCACCTGATCTTCAATTATTTGTTTATTTTGTTTATTCATCTTACTTACCCAAAGCGTACTCACTGATGTTATTCATTATTCCATTAGGTAAATTTAATTTGTATAGTTCCACATTCTCTTTTTGAAGTGGCAACAATATATAATTATTAATTGCATGTTCCATCATGCCTACTACAATATATATATATATGGTTGTTTTTTAGTAAATACTTCTTTACAATAAATAAATGAAATATCGAAATATTGAAATATAACATACACGGGTATAAAATGTTATAATTATAGCATGGTAAAGCAACATCCACCCGATACAACCAGTATCGCCCCAACCGATACCACCAGTATCGCCCACGTGATACCGCCAGTATCGTTCAAATGATACCACCAGTATCGTTCAAATGATACTGCCTTTTGGCTTGTCAGATGTGGCTTGATGCAGTCACTGCTTGACACCTGTAGCTGTCCGCAAAGACATTACTACTTGGTAACAGGGCGACGCCCTCTTTACACACGGAGTGTGGAAACCTAGAGATTTATGTAATAGAGATTGTTGCAAAATCAGGAATAATAAACATATTGAAACAGCACAACGCTTACCATCAAAACTAAAGCAGGATGGGGTGATAATTATGTAAAGCATGCGCAGCAAGATTTGTACAAAATACCGAGTGATTGAATTGTTGACTTTTTTGCGAGTGTCTATATCATTAAATGCAATCTCATTCATCAACTCCTATTTTTTCAATAAGCCTGTTTGTGGTTAATTATTCAGAAGGGCCCGCCATGGGGCCTGCGTTTGCGAAATACCAGAAAAACTCAGAACAACACGCGCCAGCACACCATGTCCATGTACTCTGGAAAAGGACATGTGACCCAAACCTTGAGAAAACCAACCAAAAACAAAAACAACCCCAAAAAATAGAAAAAACACACACTCCCTTGGGAAATGACCAGTACCTCCAAAGTTTTGTTCGGGGGATTGTTTTTGCACTTCCCGCATTGTCCCCTCAGTGTTTTTCGAGTATTTCTTTCGTGTTCTGTCAGTGTTCCATTATATAGCATTCCCTTACTATTCCCTGAGAGTTCCCTGAAGAGTCATCATTGTTCCTTTAATATTCCCAAAGTCTTGCCATATTCCTTTAATATTCTCTTGCCCCTAGTGTTCTCTCAGCACTCCCCAGTATTCCTTGAATATTCCTTAATATTTCCTTAGTATGTTCCTAATATTCACAATACTTCCTTAGTATTCCATTAATATTCCCTTAGCATTCCTCTTAGTATTCTCTATTCCTTTAGCATTGTCTCACCCCTAGTAGTTGTATTCTTCTAGTATTCCCCTAATATTGCCCTAGTATTCCTTAGTATTTTCTAGCATTCTCCCAATATTCCTTAGTATTTGCTCAATTTATTCTACAGGAATAGGGGCATATTCGAGGAATAGTAAGGGGAGTGCTAGGGGAATATTAAGGGAACACTAGTGAATACTATGAAAATGCTAGGAGAATACAGACTACCTCAGGAATGTTAAGGGAATCTCGCACAACACTGAGGAAATACTAGAGGGTACTCCAAGAGAATACTAGAGTAGTAGGGGAATAGTGAGGGGAATGTAGGGGGTCTGGTAGGGAATTACCAAGAAGCTGCTAAGGGGAAGATTGAAGGAATATTTGGGGAACACTTGAACACTGAGAGAAGGTTTGGGGTATACAAGAAAAATCAAAATGAGTTAGGGCAAGAGTATCAGGGCATGATAAGGGGAATGCTAGGGGTATAGTAAGGGAGGAATACTCGAGAAACAAAAGGGGAGTACTGAAGAAATACTTGGGAACAGTTACTAGGGGAACACTGAGGAGAGACTAGAGGGTATAACCAGAGAGAACTAAAGGAACTTTTTGGGAACACCGAGGGCATGATAGAGGACTACTGGAAGAACACAGATTACCAGGAGAAAATTATTGGGGAACATTAGGGGAATACTGAGCGAATATTACTGGGGTGTATTTAACAATGTCAAAAAGTCATTTGCGTTATTTGTGTGTTTATCGATGTTTATTTGTCGCAATTTCAAGAGTACCTGGCTCGGCAAGGCTTGTCACCAAACAACTTCATTCAAGGCTTACCATTTACCTTTTATGGATTGAACTTTGTTTAACGTTCATGCGGAACTAACTTAGTAAATTCAAAATCCCATGAAACACTTCTAAGTCTGGGGGAAACCCTGCGTTGCTTGATCCCTCGTTGCCAACATGTGGTGGGTTTACCCCCTAGCGACCGACATGCAATAGTGACTGTGTTACCGCACGAGGCGCTGGGGCTTTCATGATCGTCTCGGCCACGCGATGAGGCCACTTGATGCTGTCGTTCAAAGTCAGCCCAACAAGTTGAGCACCAGCGAGCCTTCGTTTTTGGGGCACCGCTTGACTGTTGAAGTTTGGTTTGTTCGGCCCTTTCGTGGCGCGATCTCCAGGGCGTCTTGTGGCAGGCCAATTTTGTAGTAGCCCAAGTAACTGAAGCGTAGCTTTGGCTTGTTGATGACCACGCGCTAGGATGAAGAGGCTGAGTTGGACTGAGACTGGGTCTCTGTGTGTCTCTGTGTGTACAAGACTAAGAGAGACCGTGTAGTAAGTACTCCTGAGGGCAGCGATGAATCCCGAGCACATCACCACCCAGGACACAAGTGGCATCCTCATTTCAGACAGCATCCAAGCTGCAAACATCAAAAAGCGGAGGGGCTTCCCCGAACATCTTCGAAGAGGACTTGCTGGGTGAGTCCGGCGTTTCAGCCCACCACCCCCGATCAGCAATCCTGGCCTCCGCTCCTTCGCCGCCTTGGCGGGTCCTGAATGAGAAGGAGGCCTTTTTGGAAACTCCGTAGCAGGTGAATCAAGACCGGGCTCGGAAGAAAACTGCCATCGGGCAGCCACGGTCAACCATGCTAAGCTACTTTTTCAATGTCCAGCAATGATGCAAACTGCCCAGGAAAGGTGCCATAGGTTCAAGACCGTGGCTGCGAACGCTGTGTGGCCTTTGTCACGGAAGAGGAGCGACACAACGACCGTGAACCTTACCTAAAGCTAGTTCTCGCATTAAATGCTGCCGCCTAGTTTTGCTGAGTTGTTTTCCTCACAGAAACTGGCACTGTGCAGGGAACTGGCCCATATTCTTCTGAAGATGACGGCTGAGGATGCCATCAACTTTTCTTGGTTGACGCATCGAAAGCGTTCTTGATCCTTCTTGCCGGCGCAATGGGCAAAGACTTAAGGCACCCGCTGCAATGAACCAGCTGTGTTTACCACAAACAAATGAATTGCGGGTTTTGCAAATCTAAAAGTCTCGCATTTAAGCTAATCACTGTTTTAGCGGTAGGGCCGCGGGGGCCCTACCCTTAGGACAGTCGGTAGCGCTACCGACTGTCGTAAGCAACCCCGTGACATTGTTAAATGCATCTTGGGTTAGCCCTGGCGCGCTTAAAACACCCAAAAAAACGATATCGTTGAACCGGGGGGGGTTGCTTACGACAGTCGGTAGCGCTACCGACTGTCCTAAGGGTAGGGCCCCCGCGGCCCTACCGCTAAAACGGTGATTAGCTTAAATGCGAGACTTTTAGTTTTACAAAACCCGCAATTAATTTATTCTTTTTGGAACCAATGAGTTCTGAGGCTACTCGGAGTGTTCTGTTTTGACTCCCGCGTGCCCGCAGAGCTACCCCTACTGGTGCCTACTACACCCCTGAGGCCTACCAGCTCCCCCTAAACATCGCTTTCGATTTGTCAACCTCCAAGAAACAGTTGATGGCATCCTCAGCCGTCACCTTCAGAAGAATATGGGCCAGTTCCTTGCCAGTTTCTGTGAGGAAAACAACTCAGCAAAACTAGGCGGCAGCATTTAATGCGAGAACTAGCTTTGGGCAAAGTTCACGGTCGTTGCATTGCTCCCCTTCCATGACAAAGG